TTTTTTATTGGGAAAAAAAAACAGGGGGAAATTTATTAAATAATAAAATAATTTGGACAATATCCCCAAAACCCCTAATGAAAAACATAAAAACCTTTTTAAAAAAGAAACAAAAAAAAATCTTTCCCAAATCTCCTTTTTTTATTTTTGGGATTTTTAAAATCTTTTTTTTTTTTAAAAAAAAATAAATTTTTACAAAAAAAAAAAAAAAAAAAAAAAATTTTGGCCAATATTTCCCCCCCCTCTAAATAAGGGAGATTGGGGGGGCCCAAAAAAAATTGACAAGGTCCTTTTTAAAAAAAAAAAAAAAAAAAAAAAAACTTTATACATTTAATAAAAAAATGTAAAGAACACGATAGAAATCAATAATATTAATAATGATAATAATGATAATAATAAAATTAATATTTTTAGCATAAACAAAAAATGATCCACTAATCATCATTAATCATCACATATCATCATTTTCATTATTTTTAATATTATTTTATGTATATTTAATATCTATAGAGTATATATAATTTCGTATTTTTTAAAAATATGTATTTTTTACATCATTACATGGAATAATAATCTTTTATCCCAAACAATAACAATAATAAATAAAAATTTCTTTTTTCCTCTCCACAACACTCTTAATCCACATTTAATAAATTAAATAATTTATTGTTTCCTTTTCTCTATTTTTAAATTTATTTTATTTTTTTGTTTAGTTTTTTTTTTTTTTTTATTTCATTTATTTATTTTTTTAATCTTTTGTTTTGGTAATATTTATCGTGATCTTTTATCACATTAAAAATAATAACCATTCATAAAGATTTGTAAATCTTGAATTTGTTTATGGTTTTTACACTTTTTAATATAATCTCAATTAAATGTTCTTGTTATCTTACAATTGAATAGATAAAATAATTTAGACAATTAAATAATTAAACTTAATTTATAAAATTATTAATACCCATATATTATAATTAGATATATTTAATTTTAAATTTTATTTATTATAAACACACAACATATTTTAATAATTTTAAAAAAAAAATAATCATAAACCACCAACACCCACAGTTTTAAAATCATTTTTTATTTTCTTAATACATATATTCAACACTTCACCCATCCTTTTTTATTTCCCACCTTTGCCCTTTTTATATATAAACATTATATTATCATTTCGAATATACTTTATCATATAAATATATATGGTTCAATAAAAATAAATTTATTACAGTTACATATATCAATTTTAAATGTATTATTTTTGTTGAATTTATAAATAAAAAAAAAAAAAATAAAAAAAAAAACAATAAAAAAAAAAAAAAAAACTCTGTTTATAACAATAAAATATAATATTGTTTATTGTTATGTTTATGTTATAACTAATAAAAATCACACAATTAATCAAATATATTGTGTTTTTTTTTATTATTATTATTATTTTTTATTTTTTTTTTAAAAAAATAAAATTATAATTTTTTAAAATAAATAATTTTATTTTTGTGCTTTTTTCCTATCCTTTATTTTTATTTAAAAGTTTGTATTTATATAAAAAAAAGTATTATCAATTTTATTCATCAGTAAATTTAATATTTTTTATTGTTATTTATAATATATTGTTTTTTTTTAGATCAATTTAAAATCAAAAAAAAAATCCTAAATTAAAAAAAAAATCATTTCTTTTTTTAAAAGAGACATTAATATAAAAGTAATAATAATAATATGATAATATTAATAAAAATAATAGTAGAAGTAGTAATAATCATTTAATATTAATAATATGCTTAATATAATTAAATATAAAAATAAAATTTAAATTTAAATAAATCATTATAATTTGAAATATAGATAAAAAAAATACAACAATTTTAAAATTCGATAATAAACATCATCATATTAATATTAACATTATAACTATCATTTCCAAACTTTAAATAATAATAATAAAAATAATAATAAAAAAAATAAAATAAAATAAGATAAAATAAAATAAATAAAAAAAATAAAAATACATAAAAGAAAAAAAAAAAATTAAGATAATTTTTATAATTATAATACTAATAACCTATATGATATAATTAGATTTACATATCTCTTACAGAAATATACATATAGTTAATAATTTGTTTTTTATTTTTTTTTTTTATTTCCTCAAATTTAAAAATAGTTTAATAAAATAAAGTTTGATATCTAATTATTTTAATTTATTATAGAATATAAACAATACTATTATTATAGTGATCAAAATAGTATAGAGCTTTATACCAAAAAAATAATAATAGGAATAAAAAATAAAATAATCATTATTATTAATTTTTTATAAAAAAATAAAAAAAATAAAAATAATATTTTATGTACAAAATGGAATCATCTTCAGAAAACACTTTAACATACTCTTCAGAGAATACAAAAAGTACATCAGAAATAACTTCAGAGTCAAGTAAACAGGAATTATTACATGAGCCAAAAATTAGAAATAAATTTTTAAATTCCTCATTATTTTTTATTAAAATATCGATGTAAGATAATTATAATATATAAAAAAAAAAATTAATCATTATTAACCTATTATTTTTTTTAGATGGTTTTTTGGATTTAGTGTTGTACAAGGAGCAACTGCTGCATTTGCAATTCCATACCAAGTTAGATTATTAACAAATGATCATGATAAATCATTTTGGAATGGTGTTTTACCAATACCCGGTATGTTTATAAATTTATTAGCAACACCCATTTTTGGTTACATTAGTGATCATACAAAAACCCCATTTGGAAGAAGAAGACCATATTTATTGATTGGAACAATGATTATGATAATATTTTTGTGTTTAGAAGCAACATTTGATCAACCAGGCCAATCAATTGGTGGGTTAATAGTAGTATGTAGTGGTTATCAATTAGGTCAAGGTATTGCAGGTGGTGCTTTTTCAGGAATAATCCCTGATGTTGTTCACCCATCTCAAGCAGGTATTGCATCAGGTTGGTTAGGTGTTGGTTTTTCGTTAGGTCTCCTTGTTGGTACTTTACTTTTTGGTACATTGTTTGAAGTTAATCAAGTTATTCATACATGGTGGTGTTATGGTGCAGCCGTTGCATTCTTGGGTCTTTCCGCCTTGGTCACAATAATCACAATGAGTGAAGATACACAAGATGAGTTTTCGTTCGATGGTAGTGTTGTAGGCTTCTTCAAATCACTCTATTTACCATGTACCACCTATTTCAACTTCTATTGGGTTCTTGTAACTAGATTCTTTAATACCATGGGTATCTATATGATTTTCAGTTTCTTAATGTACTTTTCAATTGATATCATCCACCAAACCAATAACATGGCAAACAGCTATATTGTTGTAGTTCTTGTCATCTGTAGTATTCCTGCTTCGATCGCCGGTGGTTATTTAGCCGATTTTTATAACACTAAACTATTGGTATACATTAGTAGTTCCATTCAAGTCGTAGCAATAGCCCTTTTAATTTCAGTATGTTTCAACCCATCCTTTGTTGGTCTCTTGGTATTATCCGGTCTTTTAGGTATTGGTTATGGTGCTTATCAATGTGTTGATTGGGCATTGGCACTCCACTCACTCCCAAATAAAACAATTGGTAAAGATATGGGTATTTGGCACATATCATTTACTGCTCCAACAGTGATCGCCCCAGCTATTACCGGTAGTATATTACACGCTACTCAAGAGAAAATAAATGGTGTAGGTTTTGATACCGCATGGGGTTATGCTATTATATTTGGTTTAAGTTCTTTCTGGTTCTTATTATCCACCATCTTTATTTATCCCATGAAAATTAGTGCTTCCCAAAACCTAACTAGAAGAGATACTATAGCCCATCCCTCACCAAATGGTGCCGATCTAAATGTTTTAAATAGTAATGGTACAAATAACAATAGTATTAACAATATTCCCTCTAATAACAATACAAATGCACCCACAACAAACAATAATATTACAAAAGAAATGGTTTAATATTTAAATTTTTATGTATATATATACATATCACATAAATAATAATTTTAAACAAATCAAAACAAAACCAAATATAATATTTATGTGAACCCCAATCTCTTTTTTCCTTTTTGATTAAAAGAAAAAAAGTTTATACAGCAACTAAAAAAAAAAAGAAAAAAAAAAAAAAACAAAGTAAAAGGACTTTGTTTTTAAATATTGTCTATATCTATTCCGATCGTGTTATATAAAAGAAAAATAAAATAAAAATAAAAAAATAATAAAAAAAAAACCCTAAAAACTATATCTATATTTTTTTTTTTCTTTTATTTTATGTAATTTTATAATATTTTAATTGTTGATTGGGATTTCGTCTACTCTAATAAAAACTCTTGCCTATAATTTTAAATTAAAATAATGTTAGATGATACATAATGATAAAATAATTTATAAAAATGGTTAAAATATAATTTTGGATAATAGAGTGCGTAGATGAAAATAAAGTGTAAATTATAAGGAGTATAGTGAATAGTGAATAGTGTAAAGTGTATTGTATGTTGTATATTATTGAATATTGTGCAGTGTAAAGTGTATATTGTATGGTGATGGTGATAGTGTATATTAATATGGTGTATTAATTAAATTTATACTTTGTGATCATACTTTATGAATCATGCCTCTAATTTCTGGTGTATTTTTATGGAAAATATAATGATGCATTTTTTGTAAACCTAAGGCCTTGATTGTACCTTTGACATCTTGTTCGCAATGATTTGGACTTTTAGTAAGGGTAACTTTAATAACACCAGCTGGTGCGGTTGGTAATTCTTTAATAAAACCTTCTGGTAAATTTTTAATTGTTTTATCTGAAAATTGTGTTAAAAGGTTATGTGGGATATTTTTGAAAACTTTTCTTTTTAAATGAGTTTTCATTAAATCTGAAATTGGTTTTACTGCTGATTTTGATGCCATTTTATTTACTGTTTAATTTATCCTGCAATCTTATATATAAATAAAAAAATGATTGAGAAAAAAAAAATGAAAAAAAAAAATGAAAAAAATTAAAAAAAATATTTTTTTTTTTTTCGTTTTTCATCAATTTTTTTTTTTTTTTAAATTTAAAATAAATTTAAAATTTTTTTAAATTAAAAAATCATTAATTAATGCAAAAACACACAAAACAATAAAAAAATGGAATCACCATTCGTTTTTAAATCTTTTATTGATGTTTTTAAACAATCGATTAAAAATGACAGTGATCACATTGCATTAGAGTATGTTAATATAGAAAATAGTAACAGTAATGGTAATAATTTATCATTTAATAGTTTAGATATTTTATCAAACTATTTATCAATTTATTTGAAAAACTATATTTTAAAAACTGACTATAATAATAATAGTAATAACAATAACAATCTTCCACCTATAATTTCTGTATATAAAAATCATTCATTCCAATTAATCATATCAATTTTATCAATTTTTAAATTAAATTTAATTTATTTACCACTAGACACATCATATCCGATTGATAGACTATCATTTATGTTAAATGATTCAAATTGTAATATTATTATAACAACACACCAATATCATAAAAATAATCAATTTAAAAATAAAACAATAGTTTGTTTAGATTGTTTGTTTTCAGATATATTAAAAAATCAAAAAGATGATGAGAGAGATAAAAAAAACTGGACTAAAGAGCAAGTAAATATTTATTTTTTAATTTAAATTTTTATTTTTATTTCTCTCTTTTTTTTTTTATTTATTTATTTTATATTGTTTTCTAAATTTTTTAATTTCTTTTATATAAAGGATGAAATATTATTAGATGTTGTCAATAAAAACAATAGATCCAACTGGAAAAGAATTGCAAGTCTTACCTCTTGTGATAGAAGAGATATCGAATGCCACCATAGATTTTATAAAGTTCTATTACCAACAATTTTAAAAGAGAAATGGAGCAACGATGAAGTATTACTTTTAAAAGAACAATATTCAATTCATGGGAAACAATGGAACGAAATAGCAAAATCCTTCTCCTCAAAATCAAATTTAGATATTAAAGATTATTGCGAACATGTATTAAAAGTTAAAAAGAATGATAAAGACAGGGCCAATAAAAATAAAAAAGAAGAGGATAAAGGAAAAGAAGAAGAGGAAGAGGAAGAGGAAGAAATGGATATTGATTATGATGAGCTTTCAAATATTATTATTAAACTAAAAGACTATCAAGAAAATTTAAGTGAAATTGAAAATATAAAAAGTGGTATTGAAGATCCAGCATATTTAATCTATACATCAGGTAGTACAGGTAATCCAAAAGGTGTACTAGTCGCCCATAGAGGCATCGTCAATTTTCTGCAACATCAAATCAAAGTATTTCAATTTAAAAGAAATCATACCAGGTTGCTTCAATCACTTCCAATTTGTTTCGATGCAAGTTTATCTGAAATTGGCACCTCACTTTTAGGTCATTGCACACTTTTAATACCAAAAACCCAACAAGATGCACAAATAATTAGAGGCTCTAGTCAATCGTTTTTAAGCCATATTGCCTTGAACAACATTAATGCTGCAATGATTTCACCATCATTTTTATCATTACTTTCAACTGAACCATTTGACTCTGCCATCAATAGATCCCCATTAGAGACTATTGTAATTGGTGGTGAAACATGTCCAGTAAAAGTACTCAAGAAATGGAGAACCAGATTAAATATTGTTAATGTCTATGGTCCAACTGAAGCTACAGTTTGCACAACTACACTACCCATCTATTTAAAGAAAGAACCCAATGATACTGATGACTATGTATCACTTGGCGAAGTTGTACCAAATATGTCTATATACCTGTTAGACGAAAATACAAGAGAACCAATTCAGAATATTGGTGGTGAAGGAGAAATATACATTGGGGGTGTAGGTGTAGCACTAGAATACTTTAACAATGAAAACCAAACTGAAAAATCTTTCATCACAGACCCATTTACGAGCAATACGTCCAAAATGTTTAAAACTGGTGACTGGGGCCGTTTAGTTTGTATTGACCCAACAAAAAAACAAACAATAGAATTTCGTGGTAGAATGGATAATCAAATTAAACTAAATGGTTCCAGAATTGAATTGGATGAAATTTCAAGAACATTAGAAAACCATCAACTAATTCATCAAGCTGTTGTTGATGTAAAAGCAATTAATGATAATAAAATTTTAGTTGCATATCTAATATTAAAAGAAAAACCAGTATCATGCAAAATTAAGCTCCAAAATGAAGAATCTGCTGCCAATCAACTCGATATCCTAAAATCATTCTACAACTCACCGAAATTACTATCTGAACAATTTAAAGAATACCTTTTAAAGACGCTACCCGTCTATATGATACCGCACCAGTTTATTATTATGGATTCATTTCCCCAAAATAAAAATGAAAAAATTGATAGATCAAAACTACCAGCTCCATTTTTAAACGACTATGATAGTGGAACCAATCAAAGCAACAATACAAAACACATACCAACAAATGAAGAATCAATTAAAATGGCACTATTACAAGTTGTGCGTCAGGTTTTAGTAAATTATAATATTGAATCATCTGATGATTTAATTTCGAACCATTCAATGACTTCAATTCTTTGCACACAAATTATCGAAAAATGTAGAAATAGTCATGGTATAATTTTAACAGTATTTCATATTTATATATTAAGAACGATTGATAAAATTACAAGCAATTTAATTAACTCTAGCAAAAATACCGACAAAAATCATCAAGATATTAATGATAAATCAGTTCAGCAACTTAAAATATTTTTAAATAACTTTAATTCAAATAAGATTAATACAAATAACAATAGTAATAATAGTATAAATATAAATAATGGTAACAATATATTAATTCTGGGGTCAACTGGTTTTTTAGGTTCAAATATTTTAAAATCAATTTTAAACAACACCAAATTTAATGAAATGAATATTTATTTATTGGTTAGAAGCATTGAAAAGGGAAATAGGCTAATTGAAGAGATTGCAACATCCAAAGATAAACTTAGAATTCATCTTATTAAGGGAGATATCGGTGAAAATCAATTTGGTTGCTCTTTAGACGACTGGAAATTACTCTGTAGCTGCGGCTTTTCAACTATTATTCATTCTGCTGCAAACGTTAACATGAACTTACCATTTGACGAAATGATCAAAGATAATATCAAATCCACATTTAATGTAATAGAATTTATAAATCAAATCGATCAAAATAATTTAAAAGATATTCACTATATATCAACACTTTCAACAATATTATCAAACTCTAAATATTGGTCCGCATCAAATAATTCAAACCCTTCACACGCTTTAAATCAAACTCTTAATATTGATGAAGATAATGAAATTATTTATGGTGGTTATGCCCAAAGCAAATGGTTATCAGAATTTATAATTTCAAACTCAAACATTAAAGATAAATTATTTATTCATAGACCTGCAATGATATGCCCCAATTTAAACTCAACCAATCCAAATGAAAATAGCTATTCAAACTATTTAAATAAACTTTTTTCAACATGCAGAGAATTGAAATCATACCCAATTGGCATTCCAAAAGAAATTGAAACCGATATTACTCCAATAGATACATTTGTTTCAAACTTTATAATCAATATTTTAGGTTGTAAAAATAATAATAATAGATACTACTCTTACTACACATATTCGATATCATTAAATCTATTATTTAAAAGCCAACTGGATCAAAACTATGAAGGTGTACCAATTAACAATTGGATAAAAAAAATTAAAGAAACTAGCCCATTTTATCCTTTTGTCTCATTTTTAAGCGAATTTAAAGTAGGTATCCTATATGTTGTATAGTACATCAAAATTGTTTATTAATTTTTTTTTTTTTTTAGATGTTCGAAAGAATTTTATTTCCAGGGTCAAAATTACCAAAAACTGATGCCAATATAATTAACTTCAACATTTAAAACATTAAATAAACCTCTATTTTTGTGTAAAATAAAAAATTAAAAGTGGCCATTATCGGAATATTCAAATTGAATAATAATATGACGGAAGTGTTCAAAAAAAAAAAAAAAAACCAACATAGAGGAACGATTTTTATAAAAATTATTACCCCATGTTGGTTGTTTGTTGTTATTTACTTGATTAAATATTTTTTTATTAAATATAAATAACTCTTTATTCTTTTGTTATAATAACCTTATCCATCTTTCAAACAAAAAAAAATTTAAAAAATAATAAAAAAACAGTAATAAATTAAATTTTAAAAAAAAATTTTTAGTTAACAAATAAGGGGAATGTTTATTTGTTTGATTTTTTGTGTTTTCTCTTTGAGTCAACAACGTGGATTTGTTCAATCTTTGGGAAATCAAGAGTAGCTTTAAGCATTTCTTCGACATCACGATCGATTTTAACTTCGTCGGTTTTAATGACAGAGTTAACTGGAACGTAGTTATCTCTCTTTTCTCTTTCTTCTTCTTGTAATTTGTATGAGATACCACGGACTGGGCCTTTTTCGATACGTCTCATTAAATGAGTGACGAAACCAGCAATCTTGTTTCTTAATCTCTTTGATGGGATTTTGGCAACTTTGTCGCAAGTACGTTTGTTGGTGTCAAAATCATTGGTAAGTCTTGGGTAATACTTTTCAATGAGGAGTTTTGAGGCTCTTTTGATTGTCTTTGTTCTAACACGACCCTAAAAGTTATAAAATTTATAATTAATACATTTGATTGTGTGTGCAGTATCGGATGGATAGGTCATTATAGATGATAGATATCTCTATTATTTAATAGATAATTGATAAATTAACAAAGATTAACCATTAATCTTTAATAATCCAGCACTAATTTATCTAATCTAACTCTCTATGATGAATTCGTCTTACCATTTTATATGTTTGCTATCAGATTGAAGGATGAAAAAGGCTGTAAATATTTTTTTTTTTTTGCATAAAAACCCCACCACTGATTTTCGAAAAAAAAAAATTTTATAAAAATTTTTAAAAATTTTTTTTAAAAAAAAAAAAGTAACGACTTTTTAAAATTTCATTGTTTTATTTGTAAAATTAATTATTTCTATAATCCTAATTATTGTTTAAAATTTTAAAATACTAATATGAATATTATGATTATTTTTATCCATTTGTCTTATTTATTTATTTCTTTTATTTTTTTATTTTTTTTATTTTTATTTTTATTTTTTTTATTTTTATATATTTTTATTTATTTTTTTGTGGTATGATGCTGTGTTAAAAATTAAATAAATAATGGTTTTATAGAAATAAATAAATAAAAAGTATAATAATTATAATTAGCAATTCTATTTAAACAAAAGAAAACTATTTTTAATTTTGGATTAAGAAAAAGAATTTTACTGCTTGCTGGCAGTTTGAATTTTTATTTTTTTATTTTTTTTTTTTAATTTTTTTTTTAATTTAACAATTGTCTTTTGAAAATTAATTATATTTCATAAATATTATTTATACTATATTCTAACCATTTAACTGTTTGAACAATCTATTTTTTTTATTTTTATCTTATTTTATTTTTTATTTTTTTTCAAAATTTTAAAACTCAAATAATTAAACCAAAAAATTAATTTATTTAACAAAAACCATTAATTTATATTAAATAATAATAGTATTGTAATAGTAATAATAAAATTATGCATATCTTAAGTTTAAATTTTGATAAAATTTTGGTTATAGAAGAAATTGAAGATGATTTTTTTTGCTCGATATGCAACAATTTAATGTATAAAAATTTCCAATGGTAATTATTTATTATTGTTAAAATAAATTATAAAAAAATACTAATATTTTATAATATATTAGCACAAATGGTCATATTTATTGTGTATCATGTACAGAAACAATTAAAGGTAAAAACGGTGGGTGTCCAGAGTGTAGAGTCGATTTTAATACAACATCAATAAACAGGTATTTAGAAAGACAAATAAATAAATTAAAAATATTTTGCCCAAATAAATTTTATAATACAACAGATTATATTGCAGACGAAAAATATGGATGTAAACATGAATGTACAATAGAAGAGTTAGAATCACATTTAAAGGTTTGCGAGCACTCATTTGTAAAATGCCCAAATAATATAGATTGTGTAAAGATTAGAAAAACATTGTTGGATCAGCATCTCAAAGAGTGTGATCTTATCAAAGTCGAGTGCGAGTTATGTAAAGAGAATTTATTAAAAGTAAACCTACAGAGACATTTGGACACAGAGTGCCTCAAAGCAGATATGACATGCAACTGTTCTTTGGTATTAAAAAGACAGGATCTACAAGAACATCTATCTACAGTTTGTTCTATGCACCCAGTGGATTGTTTATACGCTAAATTTGGATGCACTAAAAAGGTCCCAAGGTGCGAAATAGATGACCATACTCAAAAGTATAATCACCATTCTATTATTATAAAGAAGTTTGATCAGTTAACTTTAGACTTGGAGTCAGCTCAAAAGAAATTAAATTTATGTTCAAGAAAGTTTCAAGGTATTTGGACCATCAGTAACTGGCAAAAGCGTTGTATCGATACCAAAAAGGGCGAGTTTTTAGCATTACCAATCGAAATAGGCTCAAGAAATTTTCAAATTCAATTATATCCAACTGGTAAAACAAATAGCGATGGAAGTGTTTCATTATTTGTTTATAACTATTCCGGAAGTGACGTTACTGCCACATTTTCATTTGAAGTTCTAAACAAGGGAATTAGGAAAGGTTAGTATTAAACTTTTTTTTTTTAATGTATACATTAAATCATCTAACAAGCTTTTTAATTTAATACAGAGGCTATTGGTGATAAAATTTTAGATTTAAATGGAAGGGGTTGGGAAATATTTATAATACCAATGAAAAAATTTGCTCTGGGCGAGCAAATCCAATTGGCTTTTAATATTAAACTAAATTTACCTTCTTTTACATTTATGAGTAAATAAAAATTTTAAATATTTATCTACACCTTAGAATAATTGTAATTAAATAAATATGTTTATTTTTTTGTTTAAATATTTTTTTTTTTTTTTAAATTTTTTCTCTAATGATTGATTGTTGTTGTTGTTTTGGTTTATAGTTGTGGTATGGGCCTTTCGGTTTTTATTAAACCTAAAGCTTTATCATTGTTTCCTTTTCTTAATTCCAAATAAACTTTTAATAAATTAATTTTATTAAAAGTATCATTAATTTGTTGTTGTTGTAAATTAATTATCTGTTGTTGTATAAATTGATTATTATTATTATTATTTAGTTGTTGTAAAATTATAAATTGTTGTTGTTCTAAATTTTTTTGAATTTGATAGATTGATTTTTCAGCGTTGTTTAAATCATTTTGAAGGATATAGGCAATTGTAAGATTATAATAAAAAATGTTATTAAAGTCGGTAGTGTCATACTTTGATACTTCACGAATTTGGAGTTGTTGGGCAATAAAGTCGATTGATAAAAACTGAACAGCTTGATCTGGAATATTAAGATTTATGCATGCCTCGGCAGCGTAAATATGGGCATAGTATTTAAAACGATAGAGGAAACCGATTTCGCTATAGTTTGGATTTTCTTCAAATATTGATAATATTTGTTTACAGGCGACTAAAGAAACAATTGGATTATAAGTGCATAGTGCTACATATGCTTGTGATGATAAAATTGATAGCATCATACCAATATGATAGTTTTTAAATAAATCATTTGGTTCAATTGGTTCTTCTTGTTGCTTATCTGTTGTTGGTTGCTCTTGAGATTCTCTTTGTTTTTTTGATTGTAATATTTTTCTTTCTAGATAGTGAGCATTTCTTAAACACTTGCTTGCAAAGTCTAATGATAAAGTACCAAGTCTACTTAAAGACTCTTCCAATTCATCTCCAGAGTTTGTGAGGGTCGATTGAACGCCGCTATCTTCAATTTGTAAGCCTTGATGAAGACCATTTACAGTTGGTAGTAAAATGTTTTCGTTATTTAAAATCTTGATACTACCAAAAACCAATTCGAAATTTACATTGTTATTATTATTATTTTCATTTACATTATTTACTGAGTTTGGACCACCGCTAGTACCACTATTTGCACCTTCTGAATCGTTTTCATTTTCATTATCGGTATCACCATTTTCTTTTTCTTTATCTTTGCCACTATTATCTTTTCCATTATCTTTTGTAATATTGTCTTTATCTTTATCTTTATTTTTACTTTTGCTTTTATTCTTGTTTTTATTTTTATTGTTTAAATCTCTTGAAGAGTCACCGCCACTATTGCTACTGATGCTATTGGGTTTATTTGAGTCATCATTATTACTACTTTTATCTTTATTTTCATCACTATTAATTTCATTTTCTTTATTTGCTGATTCTTCATCAATTAATTCGTCATCATCTAAATTGTTTTGATCTCTATTATCTTTTAATTTACTGATATGGGCAAATATACAACATTCTGCTAGCCTTAACCAAACTAATGGATTACATTTTAATAGTATACAGGATTCTTGGAGACAGGAAAAAGCTAGTTCATACTTTCCCATGGCCATTAGGATTATACCAGTGTTGAAAAATACTTCGGTTCTTTTATCTAAATGTCGATTAAAGCTACTATTACCATTCATTTCAAATGATGCCTCTTTTAGTGATCTTGAAAAATAATAGTTTGCTAATACCTTGTTATCCATATTAAAGTGGAAAGACCCTATATTATTATAAAACATTCTTGGTGTAATTGGTTCTACAACTAAATCATTGCCAAATGATATTGGTTTATTCTTTATTGTATCACTTGGTGCGGCTGTAGAGTTGTTACTTGAAGATGAGCTTAAAAGTAAATTCTTTATTGTATTATCTGTATCTAATTCTATACTATAGTAATTTGCACTTAATAGGTGGCACGATCCAATTAATGGTATATAATCAATCTAAAAATTAAATAAAAAAATTAGTATATTGTTAAAAAAATGAATAAACAAATAAAAAAGAAAACATTTAATATAGTATTTGTGAAAATAATTACCTTTAAGCTATATTTTATCGACTCTTCAATTTCATTTTTTGCTAAATAGTGTGAGTTTGATAACAAATAAATTTTTGATTTATAAAAATGAATTAAAAATTTAAATTCAGTTGGAGCCATTTGGGTATGCTGATAGTCTTGGTCCTCGGTGGTTTCATTAGATATTGAACTTGTTGAATTTTGATGGTTTTCATTATTGTTTTCGGATGTGGTTGTAGATTTTGGTGAAATATAAAAAAAATGGTCGAATGATTTCTCTAAAAATGATAATACTGAACCTGCTTTGTCGTAAAGTTGGGCTTCGATTGAAACATTCACTAATAACAAGCAGACTCTAATAGCCAAATAGTCATCTAGTGATAATACATTTTGATATATGTTGTCTAAAATTTTATAACTTGAACCATACTGTTTAACGTGAAAATAGACAACTGCTTGATTATATAATATTATTGCTTGATCGTTATCAATATCACATGTTTGTTGGCTGTGTAAATTTGTTGATGATGTGCTTGCACTTGCTGTGATTGATGCTGATACAGGTGTATTTGGTGAGGATGATTGGGTATTTGATGATACTGATAGTAATGGTGATGCCTGTGGTGAGGATGTTTGGTTTAGATCGAAATTATTTGTTGGTGAGGATGTGGCAGTTAATGGTTGTGATGCTAATGTTGGTGAGTCGGTTTGATTGTTTATTTTGCTTGAGTCCAATGATTTTAAAATAAGATTTAAATCATCCAATAGTTTAATATGATTAGAGCAATTTCTTTGGTAAAAATCACAGAGCAATAGATTCATTTGAAGCTCAAATGATTGTGTTAAAATATTTTTATCTTTAATTTCTTTAAATAATTCTGATGCATGTTGATATTCTTTCTTTTTAAATAGTTCTATTGCTTTTTTATAAAGGGAAATCTGTTCATTTTGTTGTTGTTTTTGATCATCCATTATTTTTTATTTTTTTATTTATTTATTTATTTATTATTTCAATTTTATAATTATTTATTATTTGTTATTTAATAATTTAATTTAAAAAATTATTATTTGTTTAATGATATTGTTACTGTTATTTCTTTTTTTTTTTTTTTTTCCAAAAATTTTTTTTTAAATTAAAAAAATTAATTAATAATTTAAAAAAAAAAAAAAATAAATACTATAAAACTATATTTAGTTCATTTATTTTTTTATTAAAAGTGATTATAAGCTTTATATATAATATATATAGATAAAAATATTATAATTTTTAATTAATTATTATATAAATCGTGAAAATTGGTTGTGTTGTTGAAAATGTTTATTTGCTCTTGTGATTAAAAAAAAAAAAAATTTTAAATGAAAAAAAAATAAAAAATTTAAAAAAAAATTTAAAAAAAATAATAAAAAAAATAAATTATTGAAAAAAAAAAAACGAAAAAAAAAAAAAAAAAAAAAAAACTTTTTTTGGTATTATCATTATTTTCTGACGTATTAATATGTACTTGAACTTTCTGATGTATTAATATAGATAATGTAACTTTTATAATAAATAATAATTATATAAAAAATGTTTAATTTAAATTTTTTATTTATTTTTTATAACAATAATAAATAATATTAAATAGTAAAATCACATTCTATTAATAGTTTTATCTTTTTTAATAATAACCAATTATCTATAAAATTGGTCTATATATTTTTTTTCTAATTTTATTAAATCATAGTATATTGGATCAAGTGATGATAGAAATGAGCTATTTGAATATACTACATTGATTTGTTTTAGTTTAGATTTAGTTATGTTGTGAGAGTATTTGATTGAAGGATTTGACTCACCAACTACCAAAAGTTCTAAATTTGGGAATAAATCTAAATCCAATGGATTAATAAAATGGTCACCTATTATTAATGTTTTTATATTATTATTGGTTGGTAAATCTTTTTGATATATTTTATAATTGAATAGACTTGGTATCTCTAGCAACTCTAGGTTAGATTTGTCGTTTAGTTGGAGAACACTTAAGTCTATATCTACATCTGATGAGGGTTTTAGAATCCTTAGTTGTTTTGGACATAAATATTCAATAAATTGACGGTAGTAATAAGTTGATATTATTAAATTTGGCCTATCTTTTAAAAATAGAAGATATGTATAGTTTTGATATCTTATCTTTAAATCCAGCAAACCCAATGGAATTGAATGCTCGTGTAATTTGTAATTAGAGCCTATTCCCAGGTCTAGTAACTTTAAATTTTCTGGAAATACATTTGCACCAATTTTTTGATTAAACTCATAAAACGTGAGGTGGGTTAGTGTTTCTGGGAATAAACCATCTTCAACCAATGGGTAATTGTAAGGCTTTTCGAAAGATAATGATTTTAAGTTTCTCGGTAGCATATTTGGTTTAATTTGAAAACAAGCCCCAGTTATAATCAATGTTTCTATACTGTTTGGGAATATAGAATCACCTTCAGTGTCATTAATTTGAGTGCAGTTTATCTTTAAATACTTTAACGATTTGCAATTCTTTGATGGGATCATTTGATGGTTATTTATAAACTGATTGCTATTACCTAAATGTATATCAAGCTTTTCTAAATTTGGTGGTAATTGAATTGGTTCTTTTGTACTTGATGTGTTCAAATTTATATCGTCTACACTGAACTTTAAAACCTTTAAACAATTGGGAAGTGTTGAATTGAAAGTACCCCTACATATAATTTCTAAAGTTTTTAATGACTTTGGAAATTTGAAATCACTTTCTACTTCACTAAAACATTTGAGTTCTAAAACTACTAGACCTTTTGGAAAAACTATTGTTTTATTCAATGTCAGTGGATATGGAATATCAGACTTAACTGTCAAAAACTCCAAAGAATCTGGGAGTGATGCTTCACCAATAGGAATATGATTATTATGATCTATGACCAATGTCTTTAGACCACATGGTAGCATACCTTTATTAATTGTATAGGGATAAAAGATGGTTTTTAAACTTGTTAAATTCTTTGGTAACATTGTAAAACAAGATATTTGTGGAGGATATATACCCTCTTTAAAATCTAAAATTAGTTTCTTTATATTTGAATCTCGTAACTCTCTAAATAGAACCTTAGAGAATTCAACTGATGAAATATTGACACCAAATTTCTCTACCCAACATGGTATTCTTGTTGATTCTTTGAATGTATTAAAATAATAATAAATAGTATCTATATTTCTAGTAATTAGTTTTAATGGGTTGTCAGAGCCATCATCATCACCACTAAGACTAACTGAACGACAATAATGTTTATATTGGAATCCATCGAAATTATTTAAAGAATTGAAATATTTTTTTGAATAATGTATATTAAATATTCTAAGATGATAAATAATTAAACCTTTTAAATAAATATTTTTCCAAATAATTTCAAAGTAAACTTTATTATTTATTTTATTATTATTATTTTTATTTAATACTTCATCTATATTATTATTTTCTATATTATTATTTTCTATATCATTATTTTCTATATTACTATTATTATATAAACAATTATCAATATTATCTTTTATATTCATTTGAAATATAAATTTTAATTTAATTAGATTAGTTTAATTTAAAAAAAATTATAGTTTAAAAAAAAAGAATTTTTTGATAAAAAAAAAAGAAAAAAGAAATAAAATATATAAATGTGTAAAAAGAAATAAGAAAAAAGAAAGAAATAAAATATATTTGTGTCATCTAATTGAATATACATTTAAATGTATATTCATTTTAAATTTTAAAAAAAAAAAAAAAAAAAAAAAAAGTCATTGTTGATAATATGTGTAATTTTTATTGAAATTCACTATCTGTTGCATAATAGCTATGCCCAACCACTAATTTTTTTTCTTTCTGCCAAAAAATTTTTTTATTTTATTTTATTTTTTTTAATTTTTTTTTTTTTTTTAAAATTTTTTTTTTTAAAAATTTTTTTTTTTTTTTTTTTATTTTTATTGTTCACTTTATCTACTTATATAAAAATGTTTGCTCTCAGATCAATTCGTTCAGCCTCAAAGGTTTTATCAACCTCAACCATTGCCCCACAACCACAGAGGTAATTAAATAAAAATAAATTATATTACTATATATATATATATAAATATTTATAGGTATCGGAAAAAAAAAAAAAATTATATGATCATTTTTTTACTATGGAAAGAAAAACATAGAATTTTTCACATATAAATTTTTTTTTTTTTTTTTATACAACACACAAATATTAAAAAAGTGCCCAATACTAATACTTTTTTTTTTTTTATTATAAAAAAAACATATCAAATAATAAATCAAACTAAATGAAACATAAAATTTTTTTCACAAATAAATTATTAAATTATCGACCTTACTCAATAATTTAAATCAAATCTAAATCAAATTAAATAATAAAAATGATAATTACAATTACCAAATTTAATATTATAAAAATTTAATAAAAACAGAGGTTTCTTCACTAAATTCTTATTCCCATCTGAACGTCAACTCAGAAGAGAATACTTAGAAAACAATAACATCAAAGTTGGTTCACCAGAATTCGATAAATATTATGCTGAACAAACCCCATCAAAATTATCACAAGAAACTGGTTTAAGTGATGCTCTTCTTGATGATCCAATCCTCCACATCTGTGTCATTAAATATAACAAAAACATTGTTGAAAGGTAATTTTAATATTTTAATATATAAAATTGAGTTTTGGAAAAGAAATAATATAAAATAATTAATAGTAATAATAAATAATAACAATAAAAATAGGTAGAAAAGATAAATTAATTAATATAGAATATAGATAAAAATAATAATATTAAAAAGATAAATAGAAAAAAAAAACTAATTCTATTATTATTATAAATTTAAAGATATAATTTAACCCCAGAACAAGAAAATGATATTATTGCCAACTATGATATTTCAGCTGGTGATCCATCATTAGAACAAATTCTTCCACTCCCAGTCCCAGAACACAATTTCTCAGAACTCCCAATCGTTAAAGTTTACAATGAATAATCACACCAAACTTATATTGTGTTATAGATAATAAATATTTAATAAAAAAAAGAAAAAAAACCCAAAATTAAAAAATAAACAATAATCGTATAAAATTTTATATATATAAAGTAATAATAAATAGTAATAATAAAAAAAAATTAATTTTTTTTTCAAGTAAATTTGGTTCATTTTTATTGATTTGTGTTTAATTTATTACAATCAAAAAAAACATCTTTTTAATATGAAAAAAAATTTCGTAATTTTTTTTTAATTTTTTTAATTTTAAAATTTTTTTTTTAAAATTAAGTTTATCTCTACTTTAGAGATATGTTTTTTATGTATCCCATTTTAAAAGATAAAGATTAAGTTTTTTAAAAGTAAGAAAAAATTTTAAGTTTTTTAAAAAAAAAAAAAAAATTTAAGTATTGATTATTATTTACTTAAATTTTTTTCATTTTTTTATAAAAACTAAAAAATAAATAATAATTAATTATTAAAATTTTTAAAATAATTAATAATAAATAATAAATAAAAAAAATAAATAATAAAAAAAATGTATAGACTCAAAATTAAATATTTTAATGGCGAGTTTCTTTATAATGATCAAGATCCAATCAAAAATATTGACGATCTTAAACTTTTTATAAAAAAAAAATTATTTATTTCAGAGGAGCATCAAATCATTCAATGCGAACAATCTTTATTGGATAGTTTTTTTAAAGGTTTAATATGTTCAATTTATTTTGAATTATATACAAATTTTATTTTTACAAAGTTTATAGGGTATAATGGTACATGTAATTTAGAAAGTTTTTTCAGTAATGAATTCAATAAAAGTTCTTCAGAATTGGGTTTTATGAAGTTTGCTTTGAACGTTAACAAACATGAGGATAGGTCTTGGTTGTCTGATTGGCATGTCACATACCATGGTACATCACTCTCGAATGCAATTTCAATTATTCAACAAGGTTATCTACTTAGTAAATGTATAATTCCAGGAATATACTCTTCAAATAAACTCCAAACAGCATTGGGATATTGTAAGAAGGACCCATCTCAAACTCAATATTCTGTTATATTAAAGAATAGAGTTGATCCACGATATTTCAAGGGATCTGAAGTTTATGTAGCTGATAATGAAAGTTTAATTAGACCTTATGCAATTTTAATCAAAAAAAATTAATCAATTTTCATGTATTCTTTTGCTGTTATTTTTATTTTTTAATTACATTCCAGAAATAAATAAAATTTTTTTTTAATCAAAAATAAACTATTTTTGTTTGTCTTAATGTAGATAATTAGTTTTAAAAATAAAAAAAATAAAACAATATATAGTGAAATAAAAAAAAGAAATTTTTTTTTTGTGTTTTTTTATGATATAATAAAAAAAAAAAAATCTATTGAAAAACTTTATTTTTATTACCATAACCAATTTTTAGATTTTCTTACTCTTTTTTATTTTTGTGAAGGTTGCTTTGAAAATTTAAAATGACATCACCAAGAAAAAAAAAAATATCACAAGGCACTAACTTGGGAAAAAAATATTTTTTTTATCTTATTTTTTTAAGTTTTTTCTAATTTATTTTGGTTTTAAATTCTTTTTTTTTATAAAACCAAGGGGTCTAAACCTTCAAAAACATCGACTTATTCATTAATATTGAATAAATAAAATTATTTATTTTTGGATTTTTTTTTTTTTGAATTTTTTTTTTTTGCTATAAAAAAGAGTTTTGAAAAAAAAAAAAATTATTTTTTAATCATACACAATATCAAAATATAGAATGAAAATATTTACTTTATTAGTTATTATCTTAGCCTTAATTTCAAATTGTATGGGTGATACAGCCTTTGCCATTTGGAACAAAGATAGCCAAACTACTGCTGCTGGTCTCTATGACTTTGCTAGTATCTACAATACTACCGAAAAATACACTCTATCTGGTTACCAAGACATCAATACTACTAACCAGTACTCAACTTATAATGCCGTTACTAGGGTCATTTCATTCTTTGCCACTTCATTAGTAAGACTTTTTATTTTTATTTTTATTTTTTTTTAGATTATTTATTAATTTTTTTATGGTATACCGATTATTTAATCCTTAATTTATGGGGTTTCAATTAAATAAATTAATAACATTATTTTTTAAATTTATTTAATCATAATTATCTATTTTTTAGTTATTTTTAATTCTTTTTCTTTTTGAATTTTTTATTTTTAGATTTAAATAATTTTTTAATTTTTTTATTTTTATAAATAATATATTAAAACTATATTTAAAATGAAAAATTTTGGATCAATATTTGTGTTTGGACATTTCAAATGCACCATGAGTTTTTATCGAGTTTAATATTACAAGGGCGTTATCCAAAAATGATTTGTATATGGGTAGTTTTTTATGGGGGATTAGTTGTACTATAAGAAGGCATGGTAAATGGTATAATTTAGATAGCGTACAAACATTATTACAGATAATATACTTTTAACTAACCCTATAAATCCCTTGTTTTATTCCTCCCACCTAAAATAGTAAACGATATTGATGCTTCAAATGGAGCAGATTGTTATGTTAAGGACATGATAGAGCGACAACGCGTGCTAATACAAAGGTGTCATAAAACTGATTTAGCTTTATAAGATGTCGTTATCCAGATATAATTTGGGTTTTATTGTTTTGTATTTTATCTTTATTTGTGTAAACAAATATAATAATTTTTTTTAATTATATATGTTTAGTAATTAATTATTTTGATTAGAGTTCTTAAATATAACGACAGTTATATAACAACCAAATGTAATAAAGCTCCATATATCTTACAAATGATTACTTAAATATTTAAGTAAAAAAATATAACATATAAACAACATTTATGAAATTGTAGTTTATTAAATAATTAAAATAAAAATCTCAAGAGGTATAGGAGTTGAGGTTTTGTGAACTTTTTCTTAAAATAGTTGAGAATTCTCATTAATGTTTTTTTGACAGCAGTTAGTATAGGTACAAAACTTTTGCGAAGAACTGTACCTATTAAAAAAAGTCACTCAGAGGCAAATAATTCAATTTTAAAACAAAGGTCTCAGTTTTGTATTTATTGCTAACCACGAATTTTTGACTTACCCCTTCAATAATAATGGTGCAAAGGGGTTAACCCGACTTTAATTTATTTTTAGAAAAAATTTAAGTAATTTAATTTTGATTATTTAATTTTAGTTATTTAATTTTTGTTGAATAATATTTGTTGCAAAATTAAATTACTTAATTTTTGTTATTTAATTTTTATTTGTAATTCATCGATAAAGCTCTGTAGCTCTCCAGGTGTATCGGTATTTTCACTCTTAATATATCTGAATTCCATATCTTGCTAACTGGATATTGGTGTTGAAGTTTTTTATATATTCTGTTAATTTTTTTGACTTCTCTTTCCCATGCTGCTGCGCAGATTAACTTGAATCTCTTGAGTGTCTTTCATATGCTAATTCATAGGTGAAATACTCATAATTCAAAACTCTCAAGAGGGGCAGTTTATTAACATGTAGTATATGACCCCCATAAGGTTTGAACATATAAAGTAGGAGTTCAAATTAATAGTATAAATTAAGAAATTTCCCTTTTGCTAAGTTGGTCACCTCACGCCTTATTTGTGCGTAGTGCACTTTATTACAAACATACCACAAATTGCCCAGATAGCTTTTTTGCTTTTTAAAAATATATTGGAATGTTTATTCCATTTTATTATTTTATTAATTATAAGCCCTAAGTATCTGAATTGACCAGATATTACTTGAAGCAAAATTTAACCGTTGCAATTTTGGTTGAATAAATTGAATTATTCTGAGGTAACTTAATTTATTATTGCAAGAATAATAAATTTCCGGAGATCCAACTTTCTTTTAAGGTGGTGTTACTTCATAAAAGATGCCCGCATCTTAGCTAATAGAATATGAATTAAACATTACAGCCCTTGGCAGTTTAGCATAGCATAAGTTTCATCTTGTACGGAGAACCTTGGGTTAGTGTTTCCTTGCAAAGGAAACCTTCTATCCAGTTAAATAGCACGTATACAGCTCGGTATAACTTTAGTGCATTGGCGTAGAGTCTTGTTAATCCTTTCGGTTGACTATGGATATGTACAGATGCCATATATATCTTTTATTTAGAATAAAATGATATATTGTTTTAAAAAAAAAAAAGAAAAAAGAAAAATGAAAAATAAAAAAAAAGAAAAATAAGTGGTAATAAATAAATGTGAACATTCTTTTTCGAATGAATCATTTATTGGTGGTAAATAAAGTGGTAGGTTTAATTTTTGGTTAGATAATAGTGGTAGGGTATGATGAATTTAAGGTATAATTTCATCATCTAGTTTAATGGTAAAAATGTTAGTAACATTGCATTAAAATCAACATAAAGTGGTATACTATTTGGTTGTAGGCCAAATGGTTCTGGAATTGTGAATTTTGGTTCTAATATTCCTTTTTCGATGTTGATTTTAATAAAGTTTTGTTTGGATGATTTTTTAGGAAAATATTTCTTGTCAAATCATTTGTGAATGTTGTGGTAGTATTATCTTTGGTTCTGTTTACCTTAGATGCACCAGTGTAGTTTTAGATTATACTGGTTATGTTGTGATGTGGTGTAGTTTTTGTTTCAAAAAAAAGAATTTATTCATTATTATTAATAATATTTTTTAAAAAAATTTTTTGAAAATTTGTGTTTAATTTATATGATGATTTTGGATGGTAATTTTTATTTTAATAGTTCTGGTTTTTTAATATGTTAAAAGTGTTATTTAGGTGACCAGACTTATTAAATTTTGGAATACATTTTAGGTATTCTGGATAAGTATTTTAAAGAGTATTTAGTGAATAAAATGGATTTTGAGCAGAATGTTGATTATTTTGTAGTGGAATAATGCAATTATTAGTATCCAAGTTATCATCACCATTATTTTGATTATTATTTTTTTAAATTTTGTTTGTGAATGAATAAATAAAAGAGATACACCGATCAAGCAGTGAGATCTCAATTAGATTTCGTCTACTTAAAAAAGTTTTAAAAAATCAAAGAAAATTTTGGATTTATTTAAAACAGTTAATGAAAGTGTATGTGGTGATATATGTAGATTATATAAAAATCAACAAAAGTGTGTAAAAATAAAATGAATTGTATAAAAAGTGATAAATATCATTAAAAAAATGAATGATGTTGTAATTAGTGGTAATTAATTATAGTTAAAGATATGGTAATAATAACTATAATAAACAAGTGTTGATACACCAGTAGTATGTAAATTTTGGGTAAAATTGCCCAGATAGCTCAGTCGGTAGAGCGCAAGGCTTTTAACCTTGTGGTCGGGGGTTCGAGCCCCCCTTTGGGCGAAGCATTTAAGATTTTTGTATCTTCCGTGTGATTACTAGAATTAATAGTTTTAACATTATTGCAGAAATATTCATATAATGTATTCCAAAGTAGCTCCATCTACATTACAAAAGTATAAATAAATAATAAATAAACAAAGCGAAAATCCTCACCACAAGACCACTTTAGAATACTTAAAAGGTTTAAAAAACATCAAGGAAAGACAAGCTAAACAACCACAAACAATTAGCAACATTAATGAAGAATATAGGAAATTTAAAAGAAGAATAGCAAGAGCATACTTCATCAGCATCAAATCTTTACCAAATATCAACAGTTTAGAATATTTTCTTTAAAAACTTTATAAAAAAAACATTAAATAAAATTTTACTGATTAATTTAAAGCATTTGCTTTTAATTATCTTCACTTTTAAAAAAAAAAAAAAAAAAAAAAAAGGGAAGAGATATGGAAACAAAAAAAATCTCTTATTTTATAATATTAACATTTAATACATTAATTATAAACAAATTTAAATTATATAAAAAAATTTTAAATTAAAAAAAAAAAATAGCTATAATTTTTTATTTTGATCGATTTAAGTTGAATTAAATTGTAATCCAATGATTTAGCTTTAATACTTCCCAAACTGATATCATTTATGTTGACTGAATTATACTTTACATTTCTTTGACTAATACTTACTACCATCTGCATTAATACTAGATATACCATAATAACAATGAAAAATTAAAAATAAAAAAAATTATATATTTTATATAAATTATTATTATTATTACCAAACCCCACCATCATCAAAATCAAGATCACCAAATCAAGATAAAGAAGAAACCCTGGCAATTTGATGACTCTGAATTTTATAGAAACAAGCTTGTTTCTTATTTTAAAAAACATTACAGTTATCCCAAACCATAATATCAGTATTGCAACCATTTCTATTGTTTAAAGCTTCTGTTTAACCCAAAGATACAGGTATTTCTCCTGCCCAATACACTAAAATCGAAATAAAGGAAAATATATAAATAATATTTTGTTGAGATATAATCATAACAGTAATATTCTTTTAACTCTAAAATGCATATGAATACATTACACATCATAACTAACAACATAAAAGGGGTTGGCCATTGGTCAAATTTAGAACCTCAGAAAATGATTCGAAACTAGATCCTCAAACAGAGTTTAAATAATACAATATAAATTTTATAAGTAAGATTTAAAAAAAAAAACCAAAGATATATTGTCATAAATGTGCTTTTTATGTGCTTTTCTAAAGTTAAATTGATTATTTATTTTATTATAAATATAATCAGATAAAATCATATATTATTAAAAAAAGTAGTATTATTGAAACACTCCCTATGATTAACAAAAAAAAAAAAGTATTTATATTATTTTTTTAAAACAAATTGCCTCCATTTATCAAATATTTAAATTTCTTTCTTTATTTATTTACCAGCAAAATAATTATTTGATAATTAACAAAAAAATAAAAAAAAATAAAAAATATAAAAAAAAAATTTAGAAAGATATTATAATATCCTTTTTTAGAAAAAAAATAAAAATAAAAAAAAGATTACATATTGATCAAATAAAAACATGGGTTTATTATTTCTGAATAATTATTTTGAACTAAAAAAAAAAAAAGCTTTAAAAAAAAAATTATAAAAAAATTTTATTTTTTTTAAATTTTTTTTCATTTTGTTTTTTTTTTTTCTTTTTTTTTTATTTTTTATTTTTTTATAAATCATATCATTTTATTCGTATATAATAATATCTCTTTACTTTTTTTTTTATTTATTTGTTAAATTAATTTCAATTTATCAATCAAAATAAAATCAACTCCAACAATCGTAAATAGATTTAGGTTGAAAAAAAAAAAAAGAATAAAGAACAACTCTTGTATAACAATAAACAATTAGAAATCAAATATATATAAATAAAAAAAGAAATGACAGGTCATAACGAATTACCACCAACCTTCAATCCAGATGGCACCAGAAGAATGAATGCCACTCAAAAAGAATTAGAAGATAAAAATATTCCATTACATTTTAGAGATTATTGCGCTCACATTTTAATTAAATTAAATGATTGCAGAGTTTCCACCTATTATGCACCATGGCAATGTATGGATGAAAAACATGCTTATGAACAATGTCAATATGATGAGTAAGTCAAATGGAATAGAATAAACTTTCAATATTAATAATCAATAATCAATAATCAATAATCAAAAATCAAAAATCGATAATAATTAATTACAACAAATAATAATCATATTTAATAATAATTGTAAATTTACATCAACTACTTTAAATATTTATATTAACATATAACATCACTTTTATTATCTAGATACTTAATTAGAAAATTAAAGAAAACTGAATTAGATGAAGCAACTAAATTAAAGAAACAAGGTAAAACAGAAGTTGTTGAATATGACGATAAAAAACTCTCATAAAATTTAAAATAATAATAGTAATATAAATAATATAATAAAACATATACAAAAAAAAAAAAGAAAACTTTAAAAAAATATTTTAGTAATAATAATAAAATAAAATAATGTTATAAAACAATATTAAACATATTTTTTAATTTTTTTTTTGATTTGTAAACTTTAATTTATTTTAGATCTTTTATAAAATTAGAAGGAAAAGATGGTTTTTTAAAATTAATAATACATTTTATTTATTTTTTTCTTTTTTTGTTTTATTGCCTTTTTAAAATATTGTGTGTGTATGAATGTGATTATATTATTTAACATAAATAATTTTTATATGTACAAATTTCTTTAATAATAAAGAAACTATGTTAAATATCGATAATAACAACAAAACAATACAAATAGAAATATTTCAAAAAAGATTAATAATAATGAAAAAAAAAAAAAATTATAATAAAAAATCTATAATGTGAAAAAAGAGGATGGGAAAAAAAAAGAAAAATTACCAATCCAATGTTATTTTGGTAACATAAAATTGATGGGGAGAAAAATATAAAGAGGAGGGAATATTTTAAAAAGAATAAATATATTTAAAAAAACATTTATAATAAATAAATAAATAAAAGCCATAGGATGGAGATATTATACAGGAATTGAGGAATATGAGAAAGGGCAATTAATAAAATGATCGTTTTGATGTTTAAACCTTTTCTAATTGTCTAATTCTTGATTCGCTTTTAACTCTTTTTAAAAATGATGTAATGATTGTATCCTCGTCGATATTTTGATGGGCAAAATGTTGAATAACAGCTGATACAAGTTCTGTTTTTGATGGCGAGTGAGAAACCTTAAGTCTGTGAATGGCATTATATTTTTTTAAAGATTTGATTTCTAAAAGTTTTAAGTTTACAGACTTTATTTTAAAAAAAAAAAAAGAAAAGAAAAATTAGTATATTGTTATTTAAAAAAATGTATTTTGTTATTATTAATAACTATGTGACGATACTTACTGGTGAGCCATTTGGTTGTGAGTTAAAATTGGCTGGTGAGTATACACCTATATCAGATTGATAACCATCATTGTTATTTAAATAAGAAGATTGGTTATTATTTGAATAGTTTGAAGTTTGTAAAAGATTTGAAATTGAAGATAATTGTTGTTGTGGTGGTAGTAATTGTTGTTGTGGT